AAAAATAATGTGTTGTTGATTTTGACCGAAATAAGAGAGTCATTAAACAGTGACAGAAAGGAATATGCAGCAGTATTGTTTGGAATCAACAAATTTCATGTTGGTGTTGTACATTCCATGGTGGAAAGCAATCACAGTTTGCTTTTGTCGCTAGTCACGCGCTAATCTCTAATCCTGTTGTCCCAACAGGAAGGCACACGTGATTAGCTGTGAAAAGAATCCCAAAACATGGTAAGGATAAAATTTCCAGAGCTCCTTTGGAGCTCTGGAAATCGGAGAAAGCCTTTAGAATGAAGGCTGACTTATGGCATACCAAATTAGTGGATGAGGTAACAGAAAACTCAGAAAAGTATCCAGAATGGAAGTAAAAGAGATAACTTTGAATAAAAATGTTCCTTTTGATTTTGGACTTTGCACTAATTCAGTTCTTCAAGAATGTCAGAATGATATAGTAGTAGTCCATCTTTGTATTTATAAAACACTTCACTGGATAAGGGAGCTTGACTATTGATCTTGTTTTCCACTAGATTAAATTTCTACTTGTGATACACTGTTTGGAACCTTTGGTGTAGTACTGAAAGTTACTGGACTTGTTTAACACTGTTTGGAACCTTCGGTGTAGTAATGAATATTACTGGAGCTTTTTCCCAACACCAAACCGTTATTTTAACACCTCGAGGACGTGTTTCGATCACCAAGTGATCATCTTCAAGATGAAGATTAAACTAAATATACACTTACAATGTTACCCTTATTTATACCATAGATACTTCTAATATGAAATAAAACCGTTTCCAGGTAGAAATTTGCTTTTATGAACAACAGTAGGAAACAGCTATGGGTAACCCCTTGTCTCCCTACCTGGCAAACCTGTTCATGAGCAGATTCGAAATGGAAACCAAAGAAAAGTCAACGTATTTTTCTTAGGGTATGGCTAAGAAATGTAGATGATGTTTTCGCGATATTCGATAACAAAGAATCGAATAATGGGGACTTTGTTTCCATTTTCAATAACAGGTTCCCATCAATAAAATTAACTGATGACTTAGAAAATAAAGGACAACTTCCATTTCTAGACGTTTTGGTGATGAAGAGCAAATATGGAGGGCTGGAATACGATGTATATGGAAAGATTTCCAAGGAACTAGATATGAAGGTGGTTTTTGACACAAATTCTACACTACACAGCCTTTCAGGAAATCCAAAAGTCGAGAATTTGGAAAAGTCTGGAATTTACGAAATCAAATTTAAGGACTGAGATGCAAAATATTATGGACAGACAAAACGATCAATTAAAATAAGATATAAGGAATACTTAGCACATCTTAAACATGGAAGACCAGCAGTCGCCCATCATATTTTGCAACAAAATCATTTCATAGACTTTAGTTTATTAAGATCAGTTAGACAAGTTCACAGCAACAGGCATCTAGATGCCTGTGAGAGTGTAGAAATAAGTAAACATAATAATATCATGAATAAGGATAGTGGACCAATACCTAATAGCATATTAGGTATATAGCTTGTTAAAATAATATTTTAATTATTAGATTTACCTATCTATCACATAAGGACAAATGGAATTAATTTAAGACTAGTAGATAAGGCAATATTGTGAAATTACTTTAAGCCTAGAAGAGGTGTCTATGGTATAAATAAAAATAACATGGTACCTAAGTATATTTAGTTTAATCATCCTCTTGAAGATGATCACTTAATGATCGAAACACGTTTTGAGATGTTGAAATAACGGTTTGGTGATGGGGAAAAACTCCAGTAATATTCATTAAATTTGTGCTTAATAAACAAAAAATCAGTTGCCCGGCACTATCTGAATACATAGTAAGCATTCCACCGTGGTACTGCTGCTGGATGAACGAAAAACATCTGCCTGACCTACTTCTGTGAGGTATTCATTATTGTATTTCGGAAATAATTAGAAGTCCGGCATAGTATTAGCCGAGACAGAAGTTGTTTTCCGGTAGGCATTCATCAAAACCTACTGTGTGGGTACGTTGGGAGAGATAAATGTCTCGAAATTCTATTCCAAAATATTCATTTTCTCATACGTATGTTTCTGTCCTAGATACGGTCTTGGTTGATATGAGTTCTTGGTTGCTAATCACTCTTGAAAATGTTGGTACATTTGTTATCCAATCGTCGTATTTTGATTTCCTCAATACTATTCAATTATCATATGATTCACAAGATTCAATCTCTCTCAAAGTATTCCATTTTTCAATTCATAAAAATTTGCCTGTTCTCCCTAAAATGCATTTTCTAGATATTCGCGAGAACTGATAGAATACTTACTAAGAGTTGCAATCTGAAGTGCATTTTCCAGCTACATGTCAAAAAAATTATAGTCTGTGCTGAAAAACCCAAGTGAAATGTTTTGTTATGAATCTTTTGAAATAATATGCACCAAATACTACTGACTATTTTATTGAAAAAAGATGTAATATATATCAGATATACAAAATTATTGGAAATAACAAGGACATTTATGTTATTATATATTGTTAAGGAAAACATCAGATTTCACTCCTTCAAACAATTGCAAAAGTAGAGTTCTTTCAAACTTAACAGTACCAGAAACAAATCAACTCAAAAAATGTTAGATTTCGTTTTTCAATTCGAATTTATAATCAATTGAGTTTTCATTCGTTTGATGAAAATGGAAAGGCAACAATAGAAAATCACACAAAAAACGATTGTCAACAATTTCATCTGAATAAAAAACCAATGCGAATATGAACCTGTTATATGGCGCATTTGGAATTTTGCATAACCTCATTTTCCCGAATCTTCTTCTTTATTTTCCTGATCTCTATCTGTTGTATCAATATTTGCTGTCTCTTTCCTACCAAATTTGGAAAATATTTCGAAACCATATTTGTTATTATTTTTTTTGTGGAAACTGTCGAAATGTTTGTATCCGTCGTCTCCTTCTGAGTTCATCTTCTTGGAAAATCCCAGAATATGTCCGTCATCATCTACGTTGTCACCATGAGTGTGAATGAAAGCTTTCTTCACGCCTGAAAATTATGTATTATCGGAGAAAGAATTCAGTTGAATGTTTGTACATAGAGTATTTATATTATTTGGATTGTCCAATTGAATACTTTGGTCTAATTTGAACATCTGTTTTCTATTCAAATAACCAATATTCTTCAATTCCTTATAGTGACTAGGTGAATTTTCATATTTTCTCCATTGGCCATAGCATCCAATATAAAAAAGACTAAATTCCAACCTTTTTGAGTTTCAAACTAGATATTTCACAACTGAATTTTATGGAGGATGAGGACCATGGAATACCATATCAATTTATTGGAAATGAATATATCATGTTGGGAATGTTGAAAAAGGAATAGTGCTATTAGACTACCAAAATAATCCTGTTATCAGTAGCCAATATTCACCAGATCTATTACTCTTCAGCAGACGAACAAGAACAACATATTATCCATTCATACAAATCTTTTGAAGCCTAAACTGGTTGAGGATTCCGAAAGAATTTTGCAAAGTAACACAAAGGAAAATGAATATTACTTCAACATACAAAGCGTGAAAAATCATATACACTTGAATAAAAAGTGGTTCCATCTAATAACATGCGTACAAAGTTGGGCCAATCTCATTTCTCGCGTTGAGAGATTTTGACAAAACATTTGAAGTAACAGGTTTTGGTAATGTTGAAGGCGCTTTTAACATGGAGCCATAGTTAAGGAAATTATTTTGTAATCTTACAAACTTCCTCTCGTTCATTGGTGTTAATTCAGGATACATTTGGTTGAATTTTCTACAAGTTCTGGCAATGATTTGATCACACTGTCCGTGTATAATAAATAACTATTTTTCCACATAAACGGCTTTATTAAGGAAACTTGACGATTTAGGTATAGGGACATGATATATCATCTTGAAGCATTTTTCACCATCTTTCACTTTACCGAGAAAAATACAGGGGGTTTCATTTGATAAAATGAACTTTTGACTACTTTTATGCACAATGGAAATAATAGTAATTTTAGCACGCCCTGTATGATATGGAGTCGATTTCTTGATGTTATTTGAATATTTAGAGTTTGGCCAAACTATCATCAAAATATCAACTTTTCATGAATTGAGAGTACTGATGTACTTAATTTCAATTAAGGCTATGTTTTGGACCATATTTAGCACAATTTATTTTTTATCTCGAAAACAGATAGAGATAGGTATAGGATATTATTAACAAAAAAGCATTAAAATACCAGAGCAATTCCAAAAATGTATTAATATACGGGGTGTTCCATTTAAAAAAATTAAGTTGCTAGGACTTTTTGATGGAAGTGGCAACGCCGCAATGATGAAAATATTTTAGATCGCTAGAACAGGTAAGGAAATATGAGAGGTGAAATTTTCAGAAAAATCATGTTTTGCGTTTTCCAGAAACGTCTAACCTACTATCGACCGTGAGTCACGCTGTATAAGATTAAATACAAGATATAAAAAATTAATGTTCATAGTTTCTCTTCACAACTTGATAATGCTTCTAATTGGTAGTCTGTATTTTCCAGTGCAAAGTCATGATATTTATATATTACATTTCCATTCAATGTTATTTTAATGAATCTGGATGGCATATATTTGTCGAACGTTAACAAATAAATACTTATAAAATTGCATTTCGTGGTCTATTAAAGATCTAAGCGGCTCATTGACATCGAACGAAAAGTGGGAAAAAATGTATCGGAGACTCTTGATTTTTGGTATATACAGAGATATATTAATTATGCGATGAAACAGAGTGTGACAAAAATGATGATGATGTGAAATTGGTTTTGGTAAAAATGAATTGTGACTAGAAGTATGATTGCAGATATCTGTCATGAGCAAACAGAAAAGTTGGTTAACAGGAGTTTTCTGAAATTTTTTGCTTATACAGAATTTAAAGAGGGTAATAGAAAAAATGATTAATTGAAAATAGAAGGAAAATGACTGGAAGTGAGGTTTCTTTCGTGAATCGTTTGGTGTATGTAAGATTAGGTGTTAATAATGACAACTTTGGAGAAAAATCAACACAAAACGCTTTGAGGATTTGAATAATATTTTTCAAATCACATTGTGAGCACATCTGTCAAATCCAATATTAAACTACAAACATTATTAAGAATTAATTATTTCTTCTAATGATGCTCCATGAAGCTGAGTGAAGTACTTTTTTCACACGTCGAAAGTGAAACTGTTTTCTCGACCTACGTCTCTATGCAAAACCGTATGGAGAATTAATATAAAATAACCCTTCAGCTAGGTATTTCACTACATACCAGTTTGTGGTATCAAATCTTCTCGGGGACATATATAAGCATTGAAATCAAACTCAAAAAAGTCAATGGAGCCTTTGAGTTTCAATCAACTGTTGGAAACCAAAGAAAGTCTACTTTTTTTCAGAAATTTCTGTATGGTTTATATTAACGTAACTAACCTGGCTTCAATAAATCCTCAATGTTATCTGGAATGACCGCATTTCTCGTTTGCCTTGCAGTACTCTCCATGAAAACATTAATACCTTGATTATTTGCCACTAATTCTTCAGAGGGGATTATCAGACATGATGCTAAATATACTATTGAACTCAACATTGTGGCAGTTGTGAACATTTAACGTTGAATTTCTTCAAGAACTGATGCTAACAGAGTTATAGTGTTTACTTTGCTCCCCTCTGTGATTTTCATTGTCTTTCACTGAGAGTGAACTTAATTTAATGTTGCGGTTAAGGTTTGATAATCGCTGATATGATGTAATTTTTGATCATGTAATCGAGAAATATCACAATTGACAGTCGAATAAAAACAGAACAATGTATCCATATTTGTGAAAAAGTTGATTTCAGTCGACAAACGATTCGCTGATTAGGAACGAATTCGAATATCGATTGTTGTACATCGGAAGTTTGAACTCTTACATAATTTGAAGAAAGTTCATATCTTTTCGCAATCGATTCAAGTCAATTTGAAAATTGTCACTTTTTTCTTCGAATTCAATTTTTATTTTTGGTTAAACAACATATCAATACAGTTGAGTTGATGAAGGAATACAAATGCGTCATCATTTAAATACGCGATGAAACACACATATTTATATAGCATCTCATTTTCCTTCGAGTGCAAAAAAAACAGTCAAGGTAGGTGTTTAATCAGAGAGAACCCCTGTTTGGAAGATAGCTTGCAGTTGGTACTTTGAAAAATGGATCGTCAGCAATTTCCCATATTTTGATGACTTTTACAAAATGGTTAGGGCTTTCGCGGCCGTAGATTTTTGGAATTTCTTCAGAGGTTTATACATCCTGAGTTTTTCTCCGATTACTGGATATTACAGCTGCGTAAAGCGTATGCATTTTGACTCAGGTAGTTTGGTGTGCTGATACCTGTAAATGGTTAGGTAGATTATCAGTAACTTTAGTCAACCTTTTTCTATCTGTCGTCATGCTGTTCAATATTATTGAACTTCTTAGAATTGGATTCCATATCCAGTTGAGGTTCACAGCTTCTTCTTTTCAGTTGAAATTATTCGCGTGTTTGTAGATCTCTATTGCTTTTCGTACCAGTCGGCTATGGTATCCCTGGTTAGACAAAGTGAGTTCGTGTTTTCAAATCCAGTGACTTCCTTCACTGAGTGCGTGTTCTGCGATAGCCGACTTGACCGTTCGGCCTAGTCGGCAGTTCCTTTCATGCTCCTCCAGCCTTATTCCCATGGATCTTTCGATGTTTCCGATGTATACCTTTCCACAAGAGCACGATATGCGATATACTGCTGCTCATAGTGGGTCTCTCTTGTCTTTAGCCGACCTAAGACTTTGTTGTATCTTGGTGTGTTTGAAACTCGTTTCAATGTTGTTTTTCTCCAAATGTTTTCCAAATTTGTCTGTGACCTTAGAGATATAATATGGTAGATATGCGAGTGCAACCATCTGAGCCTCCTTCCTGTTTTGAGCCGCGAAACTCTTCAGGTTCAAGGCCATGTTCATCTCGGGTACACTGTATCCATTCGATCTCAAGTTCCAGTTATTTCTCGAGATGCTCTTGTTCACATATTCCTCGAGCCCGTTCAGTTAGAGTGGTGATTACTCCTCTTTTCTGATTAGGATGGTGGTTTGGGAGTACGTGCAGGTATCTATCCATGTGCGTGGGTTTTTGGTACACTTTGTGAGTTAGTCTGCACTACATCGTTCGATTAGGGCATCTTGGAATGCTATCCGTTGGCCCTGCTCATTCTCCATGGTGAACTCAATGGTGGTGTCTTGAGCGTTCAAGTGGTTTAGAAAAGAGTTTGGAACGTCCCTTTCATGTTCCCAGGTGTCGAAGGTGTCATCTAATGGGTACCTTCTGTGAGCAACGAGATGGCGTGACGATGGGAATTCCACATAGCTCAGTGATAGTCAACTACATCATAGAACATTTTGAAAAGAAAGCAATCGACACTTCTGAATTAAAACTGACCTTGCGGCTACGTTACGTGGATGACACCTTCGATATGTGAAAACATGGGAGGGACGCTCTAAACCTTTTTCTAGACCACTTGAACGCACAACATCTCAGCACCAAATTCACCAAGGAGACTGAACAGAACCAACGGATAGCATTCCTAGATGTACTAATCGAAAGATGTGATGCTAGACTAACCCACAAAGTGTACAAAAAACCTGCACGTACTATCAGAGCACCATCCTAATCAGAATAGAGGAGTAATATCCACTCTAACTGAACGGGCTCGAGGAGTATGTGAAGCAGAGCATCTCGAGTAAGAACTGGAACGACTTCAGGTGAACTTGGGATCGAATGGATACAGTGTACCCGAGATCAACATTGTCATGAAACTGAAGAGTTCCACGGCTCAAAACGGGGAGAAGGCTCAGATTGTTTCACGTGCATATATGTCATATATCCCTAGGGTTACAGACATAATTGGGGATTTTTTGGGAAAAAACAAAAGTAATACGATTTTCAAACCCACCAAGAAGATAAAATAATTTCTCAAGTCGACTAAAGATTAAAGACTATCAGCAGCAGGGGTATATCGCATACCGTGCACTTGTGGGAAGGTGAACATCGGAACCACCAATATATCCATGGATGTAAGGTTGAAGGAGCATGATAGAAACTATAGACTAGGCCGAACGGACAAGTTAACTGTAGCAGACCACGCACTCTTTGAAGGCAACCATAGACGACTGGTATGGAAGGCTATAAGAGATCCACAAACATGCGGATGATTTCAACAGAAAAGAAGAAGCTTTGAACAGGCTTTACGCAATTTACCTAATCCAGATATAGGTATTAGCACACCAAACTACCTGGGTCAACATTCATATGCCTTACGGAGCCGTAATATTCAGTCATCGAAGATTACTCAGGATGTATCTCTGAAGAAGCTAGCCACACTGGTGCCCGCGAAATGTCGGAGAAAAATTCCGTAAATCGACGGCCTTCAAACCCGTAATACAGTTATACGTACTGAGAATTGATGACAGTTCACATTGTTGCATGTTGTTTATTGAAAAGCTACTACTAAACTGTGGGCATTTCATATTCCACAGTTAGTGGATTTTTACTGCTGCTCATAGTGGGTCTCTCTTGTCTTTAGCCGACCTAAGACTTTGTTGTATCTTGGTGTGTTTGAAACTCGTTTCAATGTTGTTTTTCTTCAAGTGTTTTCCAAATCTGTCTGTGACCTTAGGGATATAATATGGTAGATATGCGAGTGCAACCATCTGAGCCTACTTCCTGTTTTGAGCCGTGAAACTCTTCAGGTTCAAGGCCATGTTCATCTCGGGTACTCTGTATCCTTTCGATCTCAAATTCACTTGAGGACGTTCCAGTTATTTCTCGAGATGCTCTTGTTCACATATTCCTCGAGCCCGTTCAGTTAGAGTAGTTATTACTCCTCTTTTCTGATTAGGATGGTGGTTTGGGAGTACGTACAGGTATCTATCCATGTGCGTGGGTTTTTGGTACACTTTGTGAGTTAGTCTGTACTACATCGTTCGATTAGGGCATCTAGGAATGCTATCCGTTGGCCCTGCTCATTCTCCATGGTGAACTCAATGGTGGTGTCTTGAGCGTTCAAGTGGTCTAGAAAAGAGTTTGGAACGTCCCTTTCATGTTCCCAGATGTCGAAGGTGTCATCTAATGGGTACCTTTTGTGAGCAACTAGATGGCGTGGCGATGGAAATTCCACATAGCTCAGTGATAGTCAACTACATCATAGAACATTTTGAAAAAAAAGCAATCGACACTTTTGAATTAAAACTGACCTTGCGGCTACGTTACGTGGATGATACTTTCGATATGTGGAAACATGGGAGGGACGCTCTAAACCTTTTTCTAGACCACTTGAACGCACAACACCTCAGTACCAAATTCACCAAGGAGACTGAACAGAACCAGCGGATAGCATTCCTAGATGTACTAATCGAAAGATGTGATGCTAGACTAACCCACAAACTGTACAAAAAACCTGCAAGTACTATCAGAGCACCATCCTAATCAGAATAGAGGAGTAATATCCACTCTAACTGAACGGTCTCGAGGAGTATGTGAAGCAGAGCATCTCAAGGAAGAACTGGAACGACTTCAGGAAAACTTGGGATCGAATTGATACAGTGTACCCGAGACCAACATTGTCATGAAACTGAAGAGTTCCACGGCTCAAAACGGGGAGAAGACTCAGATTGTTCCACGTGCATATATGTCATATATCCCTAGGGATACAGACATAATTGGAGAATTTTTGGGAAAACACAACATTAATACGATTTTTAAACCCACCAAGTAGATGAAATAATGTCTTGAGTCGACTAAAGACTATTTGGGTATCATGACCTGTTGGATGTATTTTCTGAATAATTAAATAAATAAATAAAAACTAAAGGGGTATATCGCATACCGTGCACTTGTGGGAAGGTGAACATCGGAACCACCAATATATTCAAACCCATAATACAGTTATACCTACTGAGAATTGATGACAGTTCACATTATTACATGTTGTTTATTGAAGAGGTACTACTAAACTGTGGGCATTTCATATTCCACATATTCATATTCCACGTAATCAAAAATTGAAACCTCAAATTGGGATTGGCACTGTCCAATGTTTAGCCTGGAATATTTGTACTATAACATTACATAAAATAAAATGCTTTTTCACAATAATTTATTTAGTAATATGAAGCGGTTACTTTCTAGTGAATTTCGTAAAAGCAATTCGCCATTAACGGTTATTGACATTTATCTTTGAAACAAATAACCGTACCAGGGACAACAACTTGTCTCGAATTTGTACGAATATTTTCAGTAGGAGACTTAAAATCAGTTTCATGCATTGCAGAGGTGAACACATAAGGTAAAAAGTCACGGGTCTAAGAAAATCGGCTTCATTCATCAACCTTATCTCCATCAAGAGTCACACAATCATTTCAGAGCCGCTCTAACATTTCAATACCACTTTTGTAGAATAATTTATCTTTTGCCTCAAAATATGCTTTAGTTCCAACAATAATCTCTTCATTCGAGCAAAATTTCTTACCGGTGGAAATTTTTTGTCTGCGAGCAGCCAATAGTCGCTGGGAGCCAAATATGGCGAATACGGTGGATATGGGAGCAATGGGGAATGTTCCTCCTGACGAAAACCGAGTTGTTTTCATAAAAGAGCTCTAAAACAACGCATTTTAAACTTATCATTTGAACCTTTTTCTTTAAAAAATTATTTAAATATTCAAAAAAGAGAAATGAAATAATGCATTCACCATTTAAAGGGATTCGTTTCTATTTCACCATTTGGCAACATCGGTTATAGCGAATAAAGGACAATGAATCTGTTACCTGTATGAGACAAACAAAGATGACATATTTCAGAGGCGTGCTTTTCTGTTTACTTATGTTCCGAGTTGCAAGACATTCTGTGACATATGCCATTTTGTGCACCTAACCTATCTTCCTCTATATAAATAACGAAACAACTGTTGTTATGTGGCTTGTGGAGGTGGTATTGAACTGTAATTTATATTTTGCCTTAATTGTTGATTCATAAAGATAATTTTCTTTTTTTAAAGTAGAATATATAGGTACGTATAAATTATTTCAACTTGATATAGGCGCTGTTGCCAATATGTGAATTAGAAACAAATCCCTTCAAAAATCATAACCCAACATTTGAAACATCAATTTGAATACTTTTCGAAGTGAATTTGAAAAACTCATGAATTAAACTCAACTTTATTTTGTTCAAACTTGCATTTGCTTAATAAACCCAAATTGAGGAATATTCCCCATTCAAAGTTCAATTCATGTAGTTTTGCTATTGTTTTGATCGACTCATGAGACGGCACATTGTCTTGATGAAACAGAATTTTTTCTTTGCCATATGCGGTCGTTTCGGCCTTCTAACGGTTCAATAACGCCGTTGATATTATCTCTCTTCTCAAGATAATCGATTCATTCACGAACATTCGAAAATTCCGAAGCCGTAACCTTTACAGCCGATTTTTGTGCTTTTGGATGCTTTGGGCGAGGTTTACCAGTTGTTCATCACTCAGATGGTGATTATTTTGATTTCGAAGTGATGGATCCATGTTTCATCCATTGTTATATATCGATGCGAAAATTTCGGTTCGTTGTGTTAAAACATGGCCAAACGCTGCTCAGAATCATCAAGACGTTCTTGTTTTTGGTCAACAGTGACCCACTTTAAACAGAGCTTTGTCGTAGTCAAACGCTCATGCAATTCAAAGCCAACACGCCCTTTTGATATCTTTATAATATCAGCTATCTTACGTAACTTCACTTTTCAATCATTCAAAACGATTTTGGTAATTTCTTTGTTTTATGGTGTTACTGACTCATTTGGAGTAACTTGCGATGAATCTTGCAAATGGAAGACGTTGCACAGGTATGCCTGATAGTTCTACTCCAGCTTTCTGCGCCGCACTAGCTGGGTTAGTTGTTGTCTTTCCATCGGATATCTTCCAGGCGTACCTACAAAATTGTAGGTCCACATGAAAGGTAAGGGCATGGGGGTGTAATGCACCTCTCCGGAATATCATCATTATTCTGACTCCCACCCAAGAGTATGTTTTCGTGGAGTTGTTTCCTGGCTTTGTCTACAGGTGTCTACAGATAGAGTTCATGACTAGCTGGAATTAATTTGGTTTGGTCGGGATACTCAGACGGTTCACTCCGTAGGAGTGATAGAAGTCACCGGTACTTGATGAAAATTCATTGTAACGCATATTAAAAAACTTGACAGTTTACAGAACCGCGACACGTCTTTCGCTATACAATAGCATCTTTAGGCGTCACAATGCTCATATTGGAATTCTCACAATAAAGTGTTTTTTGAATCCCTTCTGTATGGAGTTGATGATCTGTGTCTGCCGCATTTATCAGAGTATTCGTTGCCTGCGATGCCTGACAAAGCCCGGTTAGTTTCAACTGATCCAGAAAAAGTTTGTAATAATCTAAGAGGAAGCTACGGTGTTACCGAAACGCCTCGAGAAATAAAAAATGTTTCTGAAAATTGATTGATAATTATCATAGATAGTTATGTTGAAAACCATCAGTATTCAGCCAAGATATTTGAGGTGTCATCTATTCTGGCGAGAGGGCAACTGTCCTTTCTGGTGGCGTCATCAGGTTACATGTAATCTTCGCAGAATCTCATCGATCTATCTTTCTCGCACACCAACACCACAGGTGATGACCAGTAGGTGCTTGATTGTCCGATGACTCCTTCCTCCAACATGTCCTCAACGATGGATGAAACTCCGACCTGCTTCACGGAGGGCAATCGTCTCGGTAGTTGACGCTTGGGCTTGGTACCTCTAGTGTATCGATTCGATGTGGAACTAAATCCGTTGAATCGATAATTTTGTTCTTCACAAATATGTCGTTTTCTTCTTTCACGAATCGGATGGCCTTGCATAATTATTCTGTAAAGAGAAGGATCCACGTTTCCCTGAAGCAGTCGGTGAGTCCCTTCGCGGGTTGTGGAGCTGCAGAGGGACTTCTTTCGTCAATTATTGCAAAGGTGAACAACCCCTGTTTGTTAAAAATGAGAAGAAACACATATATATGAAGTCATATTTCAAAAGATATATATCCAGTACATATCAAGTAGAATCCATTCGAAACTAAGTCAAATGGATATTCATATTCCAAATGATAACTTTTCAATGGATATTCGATGAATATCCAATGGATATCTGGAATGGATATTCATTGGACGTCCAAAAGTGCCAGTGAATAAAAATTGATGTCCACTGGACATCCTTTTGAATAATAATGTATATCCATTGTACATCAAATAAGTGTTCTTGTGTTAATTTGCTAAGTCTTTAATAACGTTGAATATATTACGAATTGAAATTAATGTAATTGGTTGACTTATGGCAATTTTATACGTAACTTATTTGTAATAAGTTGGATATATTATTTTTTGTTGAATTATAGATACCAAAACACATGTGTTTTCGTATAAAAAGGAAACCTTTATCAGCTTCCAGAAATAACCTCAAAGTCAACAGAGCCAAGCCATTTAAAGGAAAAGTCGTTGAAATTAACTGCTTGATGCTAAGAAATTCGATATTTTGAAACATTCAACCTCATCATTCATTTCATTATCTTTCGTTAAGGGTCGAAAATATGTTATNTTTTTTGATTTTGCTCATCATCTCAAAGCGTACCATGAGATATACCACCAGTAGAATCCATCTAACGAGAATGAGTCAAGTAAAACTATCATTCCTATGTAGAGAAGGAATCTTATAATCGAAAATTTCTCACGTTAAACTTACTTTCCTGGTATTCTTTTCTTCTCAATAAAAAGTAGGTATCATCTTCTATTATTGTCATCATAGTTTTCTTCTTAATGCATTCCCCTCTTCAGTTTTCTTCAACCTTTCACCATAATTCAACATCATCATATCGGTTTGATTTCGTAGGATTTTCAGTACAATAGTTATCAGCAATACTCACTAGTATTTTTTCAACAACTTATTTGAATAGGACGAGCAGTCGAACAAAGAACAATCTGGTGGAAGTGAAATATATGTAGACTAGCTGGTTATAGAAGTTAGTGTCGCTATGAAATTATCAACAGACTCCTAGTAACAGTTGAATAAAGGTATCGTTCATGTTATAATCATTTCTTTTAAAAAATGTGGCCAGTGTATACTCGTAGGTGTTGTATAATTGGAAATATGGCGTGTCCAACGTCAATTAATGACCAATTGTATATAACAGACTACTGATTGAGATATAATATGACAAAATGGCAGAATATATATCAAGAAAAATAATATGAATATATCATACTCAAAAATATTAAATAAAACTTCCACACTGTTTTCATTTCCTTTACTTTCTGCACAGGTAAACTGTGGATTTTCTTGATGACAAATTTTTATTCCTAATTGAGTGGTTTATTGACTAAGTTCATGTTTGAGAGAATATCGAAAGTAATAAAAATATACGATTTCACACTATTAATTATAGTCACAATTCATTTGGAGAGAGTATTGCAGAGTAATCGTTTCGTAACCAATCAATGTGAAATTTCAGGTTTTTGTGGAATGGAATTCTCTCACCAATGTGTTGAAGTGAAACGTTATTCAATTTAATGTACCAATATAGTACCAATATATCTGAACAAGACTAAACTTTCACCATTTAACTCAAGTTCTAACGGAACAGAAAAGTTTCAATGTTTGATTGCAAAGGCTGCATCAAATAATGTCGTTCCTCAATCTTCCATATCCATTACTAAGTGTGATATTAATTAGTTATTTGAAATATTCGGCATCTGTTGAATCTTTGACGAGTGCAAGCAGCAATCTTTCATCTGGAGTTCATCCAAAAATATTCGGAAATGAAACTGGTATGTTATACATATAATATGTTTATAATCATTTTCTGATATCACTGGGAACGATAAAACTATAACCAAAATTGAGTTGCTCTGAAAAGAGAGGATTCTATTACATAAATCAGTTATTACACTTCTACCAAAACATTCTTTAACATTAATAAATCACGAACTCACCTGAAAAGAAAAACAACATTGACAGGTGTCGCTTCATCAGTTCCTATTGATTGAATATTCAAATTACAATATAATTTTCATTTGTTTAGCCTATTCTGCATATTTATCATACACTCCCATTCAGTCTATATGACCGACAGCTCCATAGATTCACACGAGTTCACAGAGAAATTATACGTTTACATATATAAATGAATAATTCAGTTAATGGTTTGACGACACGAATATAATCAAATTTTCTATGATCATTTCATCAAACGATATGATGATCGAATGAAAGAAATGTTGTCGAAATACCACAACATATTGAAAAACACACTGATATTTGCTTCAATCCTCAAAATGATTCCAAGATATCTACAAAAAATCTTACAACTTGTGGGACTATTCGAATTTGAGTTCCTCAGCATGGAGACGTTGTGTACTGTAAGCGCCCTTTCACATGGAGAGCTTCACGTCTCTCGCTCCCGAGAGAGAGAGAAAGGCTCTTAGTGCCAAAATGCAACGAGTCCAATGGTGCTTTCAGACGAAGAGCGGTTGCCGCCACGTCTCGGGAGACGAAAGTTCTCACGTCTCCTGCACCTCGAGCAGGGGAAGTCACGTCGCTTCAAAATGCAAAAGGGAGGTTTCCACACGAGCAGTGAAAACGGTTCTTCCATCCCATTCTTGATCGTTGACGTTTCTGTCGACGGTAGAGAACTCAAGGAGCCAGGTACTAAAATGGCTCCCGGCGATAGTTAGGAGTGATAAACGCTTCCGTATAGGAGCGAGACAACTGAGGCTTCCCTAGCTCGAGCTCTGGGCGGCAATATTACTTTTTTTCTATTATGTTTTTTATATCAGTACATTATACTGTTTTCTTTTTAAAAAATCGCACATTATTTTAAGTTTGTCAAATATCAGACAGAGAGAGAGAAGTTCATACAAAAAGCAATTACCTAAAACGTATATCTAGATATCACAATCCTTTATTATTTTCTCTGAGGTTTTCTTACGGCATACAACCTCTATGAGTTCTAGGAGTTTCAGGCGTTATCCTCCTTTTGGTTCCGCGGTGTCTAATCACTGTGTTCACACAAATATAATGACTTGGGGGTCAGGGAGATTCAAGTTGTTCTTCAAAATGGTTTCAAAGCACAAGCCGAAACGTCAAAAAGATGAAAACTACAGACGCGGTTCAACCCGGACGACTGTCCGTCTGGTGACTATATGGAAGATTTATACTAACTACATCGTTGAGTAAATAAATACCTACAATGAAAAATGAAAATTGGATATATTCACCTCCTGCAACCTTTATGCCTGGTGGAATATGGTAAAAACCTGCTGGAAAATAATCACTCCCCTGACGATGAATATCCAGCAGCATGATCTTGCTGGAATCAATCAAGTAGATTCCATGTAGACCATTTCGTCTCTCCAATCCAACCAGCGGTATGCATGAGAATCCATTGACCTCAAACGTGTCTCGACTGCATATATGAAATCTTCGTCTGACTTAATATTTCAAAATGAAATTTACAAACATTTACCTCTTCCAACGCTCCCGCACAGTAGAATCTCATAGATGCCTGCTGAAAAAACATATTTTCTTGTGTAATACCACGATGAACATTAAATTATATTGAACAGACATTTATGCAAGTTACCTCAGAAGGAATAGTCTTGGAGATGTTTCTCTTCCATCTGATAGGACCAGGCAGAAATCAATCGTGTGAATCACAGCCTGATTTCGGGGTATTACTTCATGTCTGTACAGTAAATATCCGATTCAAACAGCACTATGCCTGGGTTTCGACTGACTTCAAACGTGGCTCGTCTGGGAAAAATATTTGTTAACTAGTAAAAACTCAATGTTGAACAAAGTCTCAAAAGTTCACAAACAATGAAATGAACAATATCTTCATAGTTTTTTTCAACAAATGTTTGACGTCTCTGACCCGTTACTTGTTAAAAATTAATAACACTACCCATGATACTGGTTCAGTAACTGATGAAGCTACCGTGTAGCGGAACGCGTTTTGAATAAAATTTATTGTATAGTTATCATCATGGATATTATCACAATACGAGGGTGGTCCCAGAAGTACCCAACCCAACAAATAAAACACAACAATGTTTGGAAAAAAAGTATTTATTTTTCACCGTAATTTCCTTGCAGCATTAGGTTCGTTCCAACCTTGAGTCACAAACAGATTTCCAACTGTTTGTAAATCGTTGTCAACGCGCATGTCTGGTAAATATTGGTTTTTGATTAATTTGAAATTTCTGATTGGAACAGCTGATAGTTCAACTGAAGTCTGGCATGGAATTTCAACATAACCTTTAAAAATAATTTGGGAAAGAAAGTTTTTGGCTTTCTACTACTCCATCTTGATTCAAAAAAAGGGGATGAGGGAATCTTCCAAAGAAAGGAAGGAAGTAATCAATTTGAAAATAAGTAACTCTATACATGGATGTGTAGATCATGCAAAGAAGTAACTTTCAGACACAANTTCCGCTTCTGGTAAGAACTTCTCCCCAAGCGCCCAGCTAAAGATTTAAGAATCATTAGATAAGGTACAATTATTTAAAAGAGAACACATATGATCATTTGAAATAAAACTAAATAAAAATCACTAAATTAAGAGTTTTGACTATGTTATGCTCACGTGACACTAAGCTCTTCACTTCAGTTCAGGCTGTCATGGCTATGTGCCACAGGCATCGCATTGCCCCCTAGGTGGGAAACTTCAGTGAGTTGCACTGTCGGCAGCATAACAAATGGAGATGATACTGCATCTCATCTACACTGTTGTGTCCTTTCAATACTGTGTATTGAAAACTATTGTTTTTAGTAATATTATTTATCAATTGACAACTTTAACACGTACTTATTGAAAAAACTTTTTTCACATCACAGCCAGAATAATGTATCTCGCCGCGTGTTTCACTAACCAAGTTGGAATCATCAATAGATGTCCGTCTTTAGGCAGGTTATAAATGTATAAATGGACATAATAGTGAGTTATCTAATATGATCGATAACCAGTCTGTGCAAATCTTATTGTTAAATCATCTGAAAATGGAACTTTTGAGGGGTGATGATCAACTGTATTGCCAAACATGCGCCAAACTAACTGACTATTATAAGAAAACAAGTATAGCTGAGGCACCAGTCATTTCAAATAATAACACTGATGATCATCAAACATGACTAAACCGCTGACGGAAGCACCAAACTCTTACGAAGGTTCGAAATAGATAAATACTTCAACCTATTAGACCACTATCATCTTCATGCAGTCATTGTTCACTGTGGTTCTGGCGTTGAATCTGGTCATTATTACGCATTGATCGAAGACGAAACGGACTGGTTTAATTTGAAGGTGGTTGACAATGTTTCGTGGTGTATTTCGTCCATTCGGACTTCCATTGTGGTGTATTTCATCAGTTTAGACATCCATTGAGTGTATTTCATCATTTCGGACTTCCATTTTGGTGTATTTCATCAGTTGGGACTTCCATTGTAGTGTATTTCATCAGTTCGGACTTCCATTTTTCATTTTATTTTTTTTTTGGTTGTTGCTTGTATATTATCTCTTTGTAATTTTAGTTTTTTGTTCAATAATAAGTTTGACGATAGTCGTGTCACTAAGTGTTCTGGCGATGTCTTGAATTCATTGGAGCCTCTGGAGACACCCTACATTTTGTTTTATGAAAGAGAGGACATTTGCAGATCGAGATCTTTAAATGATGTGGTGCTGCAGGTTTTTCCGTGTTTTCCTGCAGCTGAGAAAGCAAATGCGCCACTGGAATTAATGAAGTCGCCCCGGTGCGCCAATTAATTGAATCGTGAAAAGTAG